TGGTTGAGGGGTACATGTTGTGTTCTAAGTTGGAAGATTATGGATTGATCTCCCCTCCTCAACTCATTGATTGGATCTTTGACCCAGTGGTTTATCGTAAATCGATATTTATAATTACTTAGGGACGTGTTTGATAAACGAGTAAAATATTTGAGCTATTCTTGTTTCTGTCTCTGATAGAAATCTTGTCTACCGTATTTACCTAACCTGATCGTGTTGCAAGTGCCGCAAAATTCTTACTGAAACTAAAAAGCAACCATAAGATAGACTCTATCGCATGTGGTGCTATTTTGAAACGAGTCTCCATAAACCCAGTCAGACAGAGATGGTTGAAATTCTTCTATTTTTCTTATAGGGTTCAATTTGTTTGATCTCAGCTATTGCCTACACAAGGCAGAACAAAACACAATACTTTATTTGACCATATGTGAGGCAGCGTGGTGGAATCAGGCTCTCGTCAATTTTTGGGCATGTTGAGTTATTGGTATCATCATAAAGCTTGTTCACTTGTCTTTATTTGGATGAAAAAACTATCCATTTATCTTGAATACAAGTCGAAATATTTACGAAAGAAGGAGGTGGGGGTAACATTAGTGAGAAAATGGCCGCCAAAGGTTAGTTATTTCCTAAGCTTAAGAGTCCATGTTAATCAACGATTTTCAGAAAAATCCACACCGAAATGGGTTCTCTAAAATAAAAATTCACAAAACTGTGGGAAAATGCAAGTTTCTTCATTTTGATTATTTTGACGAGAGCCTGATTCCACAACGCTGCCTCACATATATGATCTCTTTTGTCCTTCACAATGTCACTTCCAGAGCGATCACAGTTTACTACGCTGATGGGGCCGAGAAGTACGAACTGACCAGCTACTCAGGTAAGCAAACTATTGTAGCGTCCAGGGAAATTGCCATAGGAATATACTTGGTCGCATTTAAGCACAAGGGGTCTATCCTGAAAAATGCTGTTCTGAGAAAATCGAAGGTAAAGTTTTTGCCCCTTGTTCAGTTTCTTTAAAAGACAAGGAAAGTTTTCTCTATAACCAAACACAGATACACACCAATGAAACCAAACTTCTCCTATAGGTAGGGCAATGCTCACTTTTGGTGTAGGTCAAGATTTCTGGAAACCCCCGAAATCTGGGTTAGCCCGCTTGTACTTAAAAGCGACCATTTGTTGTCACAGAGGTAGATTTTTGCAAAGGATTATCTTGTAGGCTGAGAAAGAAAAAAAAAGAAATTTCTTAAAAGAACGTCACAGTTTATCGAGATGCTTGAGCAATTATCACAGATACACATATCGAAAATCACATCCAATCTCACCCATATCGCTCCCACATGTGTACACATACACGCACACTTACACGCAGGGGCGAAGCGTCTATATAATCAAATAATCACTGCTTCCCTTTCTAATTTTGAAACATTGTCGCTGTCAA